GGTTCCGCTGTAACAAATTCGCTTCCTGAAATAAACGTATTTAAAACTCAAATCCCGCGTGGCAGCAAATTATCCAGGGCTGCAAGGAGAAAGCAAGTGACCCACGAAGAGAAAGAAGGACCCTAGTTATCAATTTATTTATACTGGTTATAAAAGTATAAAAAATAGTTAAGGTATTTGTGCAACCAAAGACATATTAAAGGCTTGTTACTTCACTTTCAGTTCATTTAATTCAGGAGTTCTGAGTTTCTTAGGAATCTTGTTTCTTTTGAATCTGCAATCATATATGGCTAACAAATGCCTCCACAGAAAAGTCTAAAATATATAAAAATATAAACGTTACAGAAGAATTATAAGAAAGATGTATTTTCAATTTTTTTTTCAAATTCGTTTTTTGTGAAGAATTCCGTGCTGAACAAAAAATGAAAATTCCGGATTATGATTTCCAAAAATTTAGAAGTCACAGCGTTCAAAAGTAATCCCACACTGAGAAAGAAACGCACTTTATAATAACACCCACTAATGCAGCAGCTGAAAATTTGTAGAAGTAGTGGATTATCTTTAATAGAGAGTTTTTTTTCACTTTTTATACAGCATTTTTACCTCACATTTACTTTCTTAGATTACATGCTCCTTCAACTGCAAAGACAGATTAACATGAAGTTTTTTGGCTCACAATGAATTTTAATGTTCTGTTGAATGACAAAAAAAAAAAACAAATTTTTTTCATTCTCGCATTAATCGTCAGAAAAAAGCTTAGGTCTGATAATTTTAAATTTTTAAAACCCCATCTGTACAGGTCAGCCGTACCCACTATATGTTGAGAATGTGGTTTCTAGAGAAGTGCAACTGTCAACCATTTTAAGGTTTTTCTAGTATTGTCACAAGCACTCTTCTCCCACCAAGTAGCAAAGAATTGCTCTTTCGGAAGGACTCTGTAGCCTATTCCATGACGCCAGTGTTTTTTAATATTTTTTCTATGTTTGAAGTGTAACATCTGTTTCTCAAAAAAATAAAATATTTCCAACAGTTTGTTCGGGAAGCAAAATACAGCAGAGTTTTAGAAGAATGACACAGAAAGAATATCATCTTTAAGATAAACTGCAGGTGCAGCTTGTATAATTCTCCAGTAAAGGGTCTAAAGTATGCCCTGAATGATCACAGCATAACATTTTCAACTGTCTTACAAGAGTGTACAGGTTCATTCCATTTTGCAAATTTCTTTCTTCTCAAAAATCAATTTTGCTTTGAAACAAGATGCACTGACTAAGAGAATCTGGAATTTACTAGAAAAATATTTATATATTTCCCACAGAAAAACATTGAAGTTTTCAGACTGTGACCGCGTTAGCAGTAATCCATTGTCTCAACCAAGTCCATCTACTGCATTTCTTTAACATCTGAGAAGCACTCAGAATACCAGGGTAAAAAAATCAGAGTTCTTAGCTGCCGTTAATAGTTTAGTGCGAGAATATTTAATACCAGACGTTGCTTACTGGCCAAGAAATTTGGCATTATAGTATACCGAAGTTCTAATTGAAACTATGGATTGTTCTAAAAATAAAATCATCTCTTTTTCTTGCAAATCAGTGTCGTTATCAGCTGCTTTATACCCCCACCAGGTTGCAGTACCGTCGTGACAGCACGCCAAAATCCACCCTCCCAAAAGAATGATAGTGGCAACTGGACTGTCCTCAAAAGGAAGTTTTTGGAGGGCAGACAGTAAGCTATTACCATCTTGAAGAGTAATTGAGCGAAGGAGATCACAGTCAAGTTTAGTGCTCCTGGTACAACCAAGCTGCGGAGTGGCTTCTCATTGCTTCATTTTCCATCCATCTTTTGATCGCTTTTGGTTTACTTCAAAATTGATGCATTCTATCCTTTATAGGTCGTGCATTGCGATAGTTTGTAGGTTTTCACGCTTTAAGTTTGGTTTTGTAATTTTATTTATTTGGTTAATCGGTTGTTTACAGTTTGTTTCATATTCTTATAATCTTTAACTTGTTTTCTGTTGTATCAGGTAAGACATCTGACCTGGGTCAGAGAAGTGTTTCTGTTATAATATCCAGTTTAAGTATCTCAAGTATTCCTCGAGTAGTAGTATACTTAGGGATTTTGAACAATATTGAGTTATATATTAAAGACCAGTGTGACATTATTAAACCAACATTGCTGCATTTGGTATTCAGTCCTCTTAACTACGTTGGTACTGTAAGCGTTGACAACTACGGCTGCTTACAGGAGTTAAGTAGAGGAGTAAGGCTTCCACTAGCGAAATATTAGAGGAGTTGCGACCACCTCCCCAGTTAAAAGGGCTCGTAGGTAGTTGCGACAAGTACGACATTTTTTTTACTCTTGCATTTTAATATTTGTTAAACCAAACATCAAGAGTTTTGATGGAAAATTTTTATTGGTATATCATATGCCTTAAAAAAA